GAGGGAGCGGCTCTGGGCGCGGCCCCGGCCATCGATCCGTGCCACTTCCCCTAATGGCCCGTCTCTTCCTCCTCCTCCCCCTCCCCTAGGGCGGATCGTCCCCCGACCTCCCTGTATGTGAAAGACGGGGCCGGCGTCTCGGACGGAGCCGGGCCGCGGGAGGGCTGAGCCGGGAGCCGCCGCGGGAGGAGCGGAGGCTTCGGGGAGCGCTTCCTTCCCACCGCCGTGCGCGGCAGCCCCAGCATGGAAGCCATCGCCAAGTACGACTTCAAAGCCACGGCGGATGACGAGCTGAGCTTCAAACGGGGGGATATCCTTAAGGTAAGTGGAGGGTAAGGGCTCGGGCTCGGGAGTTCTGTCTTTCACCCTGGGCTTTTTGGCTTCTCTCTGAGTCTCTTCCTGTCCAACAGACCTGACCCTCTTTTGAGTCCCCAGCGATCGCCATCTCCTTTTGACAGGGTATCTCAAGATTTCCTAGATCCCAGTCTGACCTCTTTAAGAGCAGGAGGGGCTGTTTTTTGTATCTGTGTTAAGCATGCATCCCAAAGTCTCTCACTCCTCTCTTCTGAGATTAGAATATTTGAAAACTTAGTCATAAACATGGTAGCAAATAAGCAGAAGTACAAGATAATATCGACACTGAATTCCTTTCTACGAGAGGAAACCCCTTGAAGTAATCAAGATCAATTTGCTCTTCCTTTCCTTTGCTTTCTGCCAAGGATTCCAATATCAAAAAACAATTATTAGATTATTTCTCAGTAGATAATCTTTTGGCATCAGGCTGTCAAATATTGGTGCTGAGTTTTATCTTCAGTCCAGATGAACTTGAGTGATAAGCTTGTGGCTGAATATTTAATGGATCTGTGCAAATGTAAGTGGATGTTGGAGTGCATTAGAGGAATTTTGGTCTATAGTTCTTTCAATATATCAAAGGCTTTTTAGTCTTCATCTTGGCCATATTAAAGAAACTTGGAAAATATTTGAATTTCTAAAAGTTTACTTAAATGAACTGGACACACAAAACAAGTGTGAAATTTTATTTTGGGAGAGGAGTAAAATAGAAAAATCCATAGTGCTTTGGCCTCGGCGAAGCATAGCTCTGAGGTTCCTTGCTTCCGAGTAATAAGAGCCATATTGCAGAGTGTTTTAATGGAGTTTCATTCAGGGTCAGTATTTCTTCATAAATGTATAAGATGGGCTTTACCTTTCTAGTGTGATGTATTTAGTGCTAATGTGTTTTGAGCTGCTTCTTTCTAAAATGCTTTGAGTAGAAGCTGTTTTGAGAGGTGCCTATCCTGCAGATATAAGGCTGTAACTGTATGCTGACAAATCAAGTCCTGCAGACCTCAGTGGGATTACTCATCTGCTCAAAATTTTTGCCAGAGAAGGGCTTGATTTTAACTACTATTTTAAGATAAGTTAGAAAAAACAACCTTTACATGTAAACTTAATATGTATCTTTTATAGCTGATGTTTCAATAATGTAACTGTGGCCTTGTTAAAAGTGCAGTAGTGTGGTGTGACCATCAACAGATAAGGGTTGAGAAAATGTATCCTCCTTTGATATTGCTAAATTTTAAAATAGTTGTGTTTGTATGTATCCTACAGATCCCTGGCCCATAAGTGGTCTAAAAATACCTGTTAGACCTGCACACCTCTGTTCCAGTGCCTCTGTAAACTACCAGAGTATTTTCTTTGGCTGTTTTAAAATATTCAACATAGTCAGAATTTTAGAAGTCCTCTGTGATAAGTTTTCATTTATTTTTCTTAATCTGAGCTGTATTCTTCTATTTTGGGTTGCGACTAGCTGCCCTCAGCTTTTATAGTATATTTGAAGTAAATCACAGCTAAAGTGAGCTTGTAGAAAATACTGAACAGGAAGGAAAAATTAAGTGCAATGAAATATAGTTTATTTAAAAATGTATTCGTAATTATTTTAATCTAGTTTGGTATAGAAGCTTACTGAAGTGTGTGAAAAGATGTCTTGTAATATTTGCATTCATTTAAAAATATTTTATTCTCTAAGAAATAAAGGAAAAAACTTTTTTTAGACTTTTGGAAGTTTTCCTGAGAACTCTTACAGCTGTGCACAGTTGCTGATAGTAGGATGTTCTTGATGTATTCCCATAGATACAAATTTTGTCACAACAGTGGGAACATGGTGATATGTGTGCTATTACACGACATTAATTGTTGTATTTTTCCTAGAATACAGAGAGGGATTTTCCTACTGTACACAAAACCTAGTCAGAACACTTCCTCAAAGTGCTGGTGAACAGTTCTTCAAACTGCATTTCCTTTCAGCTTGTATTCTGAAAATGCTTACAAATTGTGCATATTTACCTTATAGATGAGTAAACTGAGTCATAGAAATGGTAAATTGCACAAGATTATCACTCAAGTTAGTGGAAACTCCAGGAGTTTCATGAATTTTCTTCAGCTCATAGTTGGGATGAGTTCTGTGCAGAATGGTAAGGTTCACTGTCTAAAGCTGCAAATCTCAGACAGACAAGCCAACAGCGATTAGAATTGCTACAGTTCACTTTACTCAGACTGACAAACTTCTGTGTAATGTTGTCATTTTGAAAGTCTGGTTCACTTTGAATGTGTTTCAGGTTATGGAAGTTAATTAAATTAATTAAAACATGCCAGATCTGTTTTGTTAGTACTTTGCTCATGACTGAGAAATCTCAGGGTACCCCATTCATGTGCCTCACGTGAGCTGTCTTATTGATCAGGTCAATCCCGCTGCTGCCCTGTAATTAATCAGGAAGAGAAATAAACGTGTAACACATTGAATGCGCTTGCACGCTTTGTTCTTTAGATATTCCCTTGCTGAGGTCCTCGTGTAACTTGATGTGTAGTGAAGACTTCTTTAAATCTAGCTGTTAGACACCTGTCTTGATGCACCTCCAGAGAGTCGAGTGAGTGTGATGGCGTATATGATGATGGCAAAGGATTGCTTCATAGCAAATGTTACTTAGCCACACTGAGGAAAGAACAAAATCTCCGACACTTTAATTCCCACTCCTTAAAAGTTCATGTTTCTGTCTGTGGGGACAAAAGGCAAAGATGCACGCTGACTCCAACTGATTTCAGCAGATAACTTGCATATGATGTCATGGTGCCATTACTGCTGCATACCCACATATTCAGGACTTGATTGAATAGCATTTGAACTGTAGCCATTAAGCTGGTTGTTAGTAATCTTGTGGCAGGTTTCCAAAAGTGAGTGAAGATAGTTGACCTTTGGCTTGCAATTGTAAAACAGCTGAGTGAAGAGGAAAAGTGCTTGGCCTTTTCTTTTGTGGACACTATGTGGTAAAAGCTGCTTCTGTGATTTTTGTATCCCTGGCAGCACACTGGATCCCCTTACTTTTTTGTCAAGTAGTTCTACAGCAGTGCTTTTATTTTATTACCATTCAGGAGAATGGTAATAAATGAATGGCTTTCTTTAAACTTCTGAAATACACTGACTACTACTTGCCGAGCTTTTTCCAGAGAAAGGAAAAGTTGCTGCTTCCTTCAGTGTCTTCTGAGACAGCGCTGCATCTGTCAAGATCACTGTTCTTCTCAGGTGCTGGTGGTTGCTTCACAAAAACTTGTTGGTGACTGGCATCCTACTGGAGGTGCGAAGATCACCTGTCCCATTATTTAAAAAAAAAAAAGGAAACTGAGGAATGCCTACTTGAAAATTTGATTTACTGTTTCTTACTTTGAATAGTTGAGGGTTGTCATGATGCTTTTTCAGCCTTTTCCCCTTTCACTTGCTGTATTTATTGAAGTTGGGAGTAGTTGACTTCTGTTTCTGTATGTATTTGTTATGCGGGTTTTATGTCCCGCATAACTATTGTATTTCTAGCAGCTTCTGGTTTTGTTGGCCTTTGTGCTAACTGGCAAGTATCCAGACCTAAAGTGTGCTAATACTTGCTGGTGGTTTGGCAGGAGCAGGGGAGGGGAGAGGGAGGAAAGAAAAATCATTCTTTCTCTCATCATAGTTTCTTTTCTCTATTCCTCCTACACCTAATCTGCAGTGTAGTTAATACCATGGTGGTCTGATAGCTGTTTTTGCATGCTTAATACAGAAGCACTAAATATATTCATTAATATCTTGAATGTTAGAATTGGGTTTTTTTGTTGTGTATGTTTTATTCTTTTTTTTTTTTTAATACAGGCCACTGCTCCATTTCCTCTTTCTCCTTCTTCTGCTGTAGGGTTGGGGCATAGCTGGAAAGTGATCTTCTGAAGAACTGAATAAGTTCCTGTTCCCAGCAGTTGTCAGCATAATTAATTCAGAGGGACTTACAGATTGTTTTTATGAGTAAAGTTATTCAGGTGATGTTTTGAATAGAGGACATTTGTCATCTTTAATTTTGGGATTTTTGGTTTTGTGTGACACACATCCAGCTTCCCTGTTTGCTAAAAGATGGAATTCCTTGATAGGATTTTGATCATTTGACAATTTAATTCAGCAAAATCAACATTTTTTTCCTATTCTTGATTGTACAGTTGACACTCACCGCAGGTCCTGTTCACATGATTGTTTACCACCAGGCTCATTTTCTTTCTGTCAGCCTTTAAGAGGATTGAGTGTTTGCAAACAGTTGATGCTGAGGCGGCATTTTCGGTTCCTGCATGAAAACCATTTTTCTGTGCCTGGATACAGTGTAATAGTTTTGAATAGAGGGAGAAGTGTGATAAACAAGGGGAGCGTGGTCTCCCTTCTCTTCCTTTTCATCCCTAGTCTTTGGCCTTACCTGCATTGGCTGTTGTGTCGTGGTGTCTGTGCTAGAGAACAGAAATTCATAGCTTGAAGAGTAGTGCAAAGACTTCTCTGTTGTGGGTGAAATTGTCTTCACACTCATCCTGCCTCTCCCTTCCTTACATACCTTCATCTTCACTCATTTCTTTTAAGGGAATAGACTCAATGTGGTCTTGATGATTTTAATACATGAGAAACGGTTTTCTGAATTAATTATTCAGGCAAATCACAAGCACTATGTGCTTTATGCTGAAATAAGGCAAATACTAGAACAGGTTCCCCAGAGAAGTTGTGGAATCCCCATCCTTGGAGATACCCAGACAAGTCCCTGAGCACTCTGATCTGATCAACCCTCTTCTGAGCAGCAGGGTGGATTGGGTGATTTTCAGAGGCCCTTCCAACCTACATTAATGTGTGACTTGGCTGTGAGTAGCAGCTGTTTTATGTGATGGATTATTTGTAAAGGTGCACTTAGGTCATGTTCCTTGGCTGGCGTCCTTGAATGAAAATTATATTTATCATCAATATGTGATCAATATTGCAGTCAAAGAAGACAAAA